ATCACTTCTGCTTTTGGAACCTGACAAGATTGAATGGAAACCTGCAAACCTGAGTGACCTCATCCTGGGAGACATTTTGGTCATATGTTGATGGCCTGGATTTTAATTAGAGACTAGATGGGACTTTAGTAATGTAACAGTATCTTTATAAACTCTTATTTCTCAGGCTACATCTACCATAATGCAATATGCTTATAGTGATATTCTCTAACACTAGCATTGTTGGTAAGATTACAAGGCTGATATTGATTGTCAAATATTTTGGGAAATTACAATTGTAATTTGTAATACACATACAAAACAGTATGCTCAGTTGGGTATTATCATTTTTCTATAACAGATCCTATGGTCAAGGACCAGGAGGTGGCCTGTGAGGTACAAAGAATATATCTAGACTCGGGGGAGGAGGAGGGCTCCTGGCATAGATCTTCCAAAATCCTTGGAATTTCCTTAGTGTAAAACTATCTTTGTTATGCTAATGAGGTGACTCTTGGGGGAGGAGGCCTAGATAGCTTCAGGATGGGGGCTGGTGGCCAGAAAAACCAACCACATGGTTAGAGGGCTGGAATTTCAGCCTCAGAGGAGGGGATGCTGGAGATTTTATGTAATGAAACACTGATTTTAAAAAAACTCAGGACCAGCAAGGCTGGGGGAAGCTTCCTGATTGGTGAACACAGTAACGTGCTGGGAAGATGACATACCTGGATTTTCCACCAGAAGAAGGTGGAAGTTCTGTTCCCTTCCTCTTCACCCCCACATCCCTCCTTTCTCTCAGACCTTATCTCTTCCACATGGCTGTTCCTGAGTTGTATCTTTTTAATAAAACTAGTAAAGCATTTCAGTGAGTTCTGAGAATCATTCTAGCAAATTATCAAACCTGATTCTGAGTTGTGGGAACCCTCAAATGTGTAATCAAGTCAGACATAAGTGCAAGTAGCCTGGGGACTCCACTTGCAGCTGGTGTCCGAAGTAAGGGCAATCTTGCTGGGGACCTTGCCCTTTAACTTGCCATATCTGACAATAACTCCAGGTAGTTAGAGTCAGAATTGAACTGAGTTGTAGGATATCAGAGAATCGTTGCTAGAACAGACATATTTCTTTTTAAAAATTTTTTTAGTACACAAACATGTTTTTTTCTTTTAATTTTTTTTATTGTGCTAAAATATACATAATATAACATTCACCCTTCTAACCTTTTTTCTTTTTATACTTCTTATTGAAAAATAGCAGTAAAGACAACATATATAAACTTAGAAGTACAACTTAGAAGTAAACTGCTCAATTAGATTTCACAAACTGAACACAAAGAAAAGAACATTTCTGTAAAATAAACCAAGACATAGTAATTAAAATGGCAGTGAGAGAGGTTAATTCCTTTCCCATGTATATACACATACCTACTCTATAATGTACCATTTCCAAAAATGGGCTCATGGAAGACATTCTAAGGGGTATTTGTGTTATTGTTAAAAAGGTTTTGTAATAATAATAATCTTGGGACTTACTGAATTAAAGCTAGTCAAACAGGTTTATCACCTAAGGAGATTTTCACAAATTCAGATGCCAGGGCCTAAAGCCTGAACATTCTCAAGTCAGGAAAGAAATGGAGAAAATACTTGTTTAAATTTTATTTTATTTATTTTTTATTGGTTATGAATATTCATAATACAAAGCTGATTGTCACCCCTCGTGCCCAAGATGTGAAGGCCAGACCCATACTCCATTGTACTCCATTCCCCACCCAATTATCCCCATCTCCTCCCCTTCACCCCACTACTCCACTTTGTATCCCAAGGTACGTTCTCTCCTTCTGCAAGTGCAACGCACCACTGTGGTCTTTCTTTCCTTCCTTCTTTCTCTTAGACAATAGCCAAGCTATGGAAGAAAATACTTCTTGCTCATTCTATATATGTAATTTAAAATTATGGTTGTTAAAATATACATAACAAAATTTACAATTTATAATTTTAAATCACTGATTTACAATTCAGTGGCATTAACAGTCACAATGTTGTGCAACCATCACCACTATCCATGCCCAGAACTTGTTCATCCCAAACAGAAACTCTGTATCCATTAAATAATAACTTTCCCTCTCCCCATAGTACCTGATAACCTCTATTCTCCTTTCTGTCTCTGTAAATTTACCTAATGTAGGTACCTCATATAAGTGCAATCATACAATATTTGACCTTTTGTGTCTGGCTAATTTCACTCAACGTTTTCAAGGTTCATTCATGTTATAGAATGTATCAGCACTCATTCCTTTTTAAGGCAGAATTTTATCCCATTGTATGTATGTTCCACATTTGTTTATCCATTCATTTGTTGACAGACATTTGAGTTTCCACCTTTTGCTATTTAAATAACGCTGCTGTGAACTTTGGTGTAGAAGTATATGCATTGTTAAACATTTTCACATATCTATCCTCATGTATTTTTGTGGCATAAATAAACTTTTGGAGGCACTTTACAATTTAGAGGTCAAATAGAAATTAATGATAACATACATTTTAAAGAATCCAATGTTTTATTATCAGCAGTAATATTTGTTCATGCTGAAGATTCAGGGATAAAGTAATAGACAAAAAACTGAAATATAATCAACACTACAAAGATATATCCTAAGTATATAGGAATATTGTCCTAATATTGTTCTAATTAGTAGAAAAATATAAATGATGGAATTACATTAATTACTTTGTGCTTAATCTTTCTTAATGTACTTTTAATATTAAATACATAGAAAATGCTTATACTTATTTAAAGACTATGCCTTTTTCTTTAGCAACTAAAACATGCTTATCCTTGGTTAATCAGAATTAGTTTCAAAAGAAAACTTCTTATAGGTAAGTATGGCATTTAGTGCATTAGACCCATACTCTTACTGGACTGGCTGCTTGATGATCTCTCTTGTTCTTTCGTGATTTCCATTTCAATTTTGGCTTTGATTTTCTCCCAATCTATTTGAAGCTGCAACAGAAGAAGACACATGCTAATACAAGGGTACTTCAAAGAGTTCATGGAAAGATAAGTAACCAACAGTAAACATAAATAGAAAGTATGACTTCCAAAACATTAGAGAAAAAGAGGGCATCAAAAAAAATAAACTTTAACAAGAAGAAGTACTAAGAAAAACGAAATAGCTTTAATAATAAGACCAAACAGATAATTATATAATAAAAAGCAAAGACTCACTGTGATTCAAAACCTAGTTGCAGCTATTTATAAAAGGCGCATCTAAACAGTTCCACAGAGGCTTAGGATTCTGCATAGGTGCTCAGGACAAGGCTGGGGAGAAAGTAGCCTACTCTCCTCCAAAGAGGAAAAATGTACATAGCTCTGGCCACCAAGCCATGTTTGAAACAGACCAGTTCTTCAGACCTTAGATACTGAGTTTTCCATAGAAGCCTAGCTGTGAGGAAAGATTGGGGAACATTACCTTCCCCTGAGCATATTCTGCAAAAGTGAATCCCTTTCAACAACTCTTAAAGTGAGACAGAGCTCTTTAAGACGATGAAAAGATTTTTTTTTTTAGAGGAAACAGAGGGAAAGCTAGCCTTAGAGACACATAAAAAGTATAAAGGAAAAGTGATAACACTTTTGTTTGCTTTCCTTCTATCTGCGATGCAGTCTCCCCTCCCCTAGCCCTGCCCCATCCCACTCTTAAGTTCATTAGATTTGATGCTAGCAATGGACTCAGCCCTGAGTTCTATGAGCAATTTCTTTAGGAAAAAAATTCCACCGTTTAACAAAGTTTGGAGATCACTAATTTAGGAATGTGTGTTGTCTCTGAGAAAAGACATGGGAAAAATTGGTTCCTAGATTAAACGGTCTGATTTACTATGAAATAAACCCAACCCCCTGAAACTGAGACAAAAGTGAAAAGGTTTTCACCTCCATGCAGGGGAGTTGAATGAAGCAAATAGCATTAAATCAGACTGAGGTACTACTTGCTGCTTGAATAGATTTATCTTGGGTGACAGGTTAATTTAACATTAATAAGACTCCATACCTCCCTTATTTTGTGCTAGAAATTGATGAAATTAAGTATTTGGTTCTTTTCTATTCCAATATCCTATATCTAAATTTCTGTGAAGTAATTTGTGGATATTTTTGGTCTCCTTTTTAAAAATAATAATTCCACATACTTATCTATAATATATAAAATAGATGAATTAATAGAATTCCTTTTACTCATAGAAGATAACTGTCTGGTACTAACATTGAAAAGCAGAACAAATGTTAGATTATTTGAAAGCCTAATTTTTCAATTAGGCCAAAACTTGCTATCTTTCAAATGGTAAAATACTCATTTCCATGTCTAACAAAACATTTACAAAGAGGAAGACAAAACTTGATGAATACCTTGGCATTCTTCCAGCCTTAAATTGATTTGCTTCTCAAATCAGTCATAACAAAACCATATATTGATGCTACACTGAACAATTGTTGCTCTGTTGCGCCAGAAGTCCATCAAATAAATTGATGACATCTCTATTAGTTACTTGTTATAATACAAATGAGGGTGTCAGTTGACAGTGATCCTACTGAAATGTTTCACTTTCACTTTGGCATTTATCCAGTTTTAGAACAGGGTTCTACAGATAATTTAGTCCTTGGATTCAAATACTTTTAATAGTAGGTTTTAGATAAGGATGTTCTCTGACAGCTGTCAAGTGACTTCTACACTAAAACCCATCCTTTTCAATCATAGGGAGTGAGTGCCAATACTATTTGGCACTTCTTATTCTAATCCCTAGTCTATTTCTATTCACATAGAAGCAGTTTCAAAATCATACCAAATGGCTCTCCATCCTTTACCCCATCTCCCTTATTCTCAGCTGAAAATCAGCTTCCTACTTTACAGAGAATATAGTGCCCATCAGGCATGAATTCACTTAATTTCCCTTCCTTGTACTCACAAACTTACCTATACCTATACCCATCCTTCTCTTTCCCTTCTGTCTCAGGCCAACCTCCTCACATATATCCCTGATCCCATCTTCTTTGACTCCTCTAGGACATCTGCCTTCAGGTATTACTCATACGCTCAGTTTCTTTCTCCTGATTGACTCCTTCTTATTGTCCTTGCCTCTCTGCTCTGTCTCCCTGACAGCTACCACCCTCATTCTTCTTTTCATTCCTGATTCCCATTCTCTCACTAGACCACTGTAATATCACTGTGTTCCCACTACACTTCAGAAACTTTTCACTAAAGCCATCATCAGCTGTTTTCAGTCTTTATCTTGTATACCTTCTCAGAATGATTCAATTATTCATTCAACAAATATTTAGTGACTAGTATATGCCAAAGATTTCCTAAGTACAAGGATTCAGCAATGAACAAAAAAAAATTAACTGTGTTCATGAAGAGATAATAAAGACAGATAACAGTAGAAGAAAGGTATAAACAAAAATAAGAATAGATACAGTATGTCAGAAGCATAAAGGTTTTGAAAATAGGGAAGGGAGATAGTGAGTACCAGGGGTAGAGTAGGAGGTTGCACTGTCATCAATTTACTTGATGAACTTCTGGTTGTATTTCAGATAGGGTGATCAGAGAAGCTGATGTCTCTGAAAAGGTGATATTAAGACCTCCTGAAGGAGATGACTGAGTGAACCTAGGTGTGTATCTGGGTTCTACAGATTGAAAGTTCCCCCACACTCAATGAAGCTTAATCCCCACTGTAACTATTGAGGGTGGGAAATCCTATTATGGTAATTGAAAGGTGGGGTTTTGAAGAGGTGATTAGATTGTGAGGACTGTGCCCTAGTAAATGGATTAATAAATTGATGGTTTAATGGTGGTCATCAGCATGGTTCCGAGGGCTTTGAAAGGAGAGCACATGAGAGTCTCTCTCACTCTGCTTCTGCCATTTTGCCATGTGACACCCTGTGCTGGCTGTAGTCAACACCAGGAAAAGGGCCTGACCAGATGTGTTCCTTGGACTTTGGACCTCTCAGCCTCCGAAACTGTAAGCAATAAACTGTATCTTTACAAATTACCCAGTTTCAGGTATTTTGTTATAAGCAACACAAACAGACTAATACACTGGGGAAGAACATGCTGACAGAGGCAAGAGCAAGGCCCTGAGAGAGGAGCATTCTCTGGACCTTGTAGACCACTGCTCTTTGAAAAATCTCTCATATTAGACTGTATATATATAATACCACTCTCTCCTGGTTTCTCCTCTCCTTGCTAAATGCTCCTTTCTTTCTCTTTTTTCCTATATTCTTCCTCTAGACTATGTTGGGGAGGAAATATAATTTCTCCTCAACCCTCATAAGTTTGAAGTTCGAATAGACTCCTGTAATAAAAGATAGATTAACAAGAGAAAAACAAGCAAGTTTATTAACACATCATGTAGGAGGAACCTCAGTGAAGGATAACTCAAAGCAATGGCTTAGAACTTTGGCTTATATAGCATCTTCAACAAAGAACAATAAATTTTAGAGAAGTGACAAGACAAATGAAAGCAGTTTTAGGTTTCCAGAGGCAGGAAACTGTGGGAAGGTAAGTATGTGGGAAGAAACTAGTGGAGTAAGGTTTGTTTGCAGATTCCTCTGGTAGCATCTCTGAGCTGATAAGAGTTATCCAGTAAAGGAGAATTTATATCCTGTCTTTAGGTGGAAAAGGGGAGGAAAGAGAGAGAGAGCTCTTCCTTTGTTTGCAGCTTCTTAATTTCCCTAAGGTCAACAATGTTATGTCAAAAAGGCATATTTTGGGGTGACATATTCTGATTTCCTTCAACGACCTCTTAACTATTAATATTCACCAAAGTTTCAACTATATCTTTCTCATACTTTCCCTAGATCTTATCAACAGATATAGCTTCTACTATACCTAGATGGTCATGATAATAAATTTAGTTGTCTAGCCCTGATTTCTCCTTTGTCAATATCCTTTGGTGTTCACATTTATATTTCTAACTGCCTACTAGATAGCTCCACCTGAACACCCCACTGACATTTCAAACTTTAAAAAAAAAGTATATTTTCATGTATTCAAACACAAAGGTCCAAAACTTATATATTTTCATGTATTCTTTTTCTAGATTAATGGCATCTCCATCTGCCAGTTGCCCGCATTAGAAATGGTGAAGTTATTCTCCAATGCCTTGCCTCCCACCCCCAACCACAATTGTTCTCTTAATTTTACCGTTGAGTTCCTTCTTACATTAATTTTACCCTTTCTGTGTCCTTGTGGGACTATTATAGTAACTTCCCAACTGGTCTCCTACTCACCACCCACTAATCTACCTTTCACATCCAAAGTTATCTTTCAAGTCATTCTCTTGATTACAAACCTCCAAGTCTTCTCATTGCCTTCATCATGAAGCTTATTCTCTTAACACAGACCCTTTGACATCTGGTTCTAACCAGTATTCCAACCACCCAGGACTCAAAGCAATCACTCAGGATTCCACCCCATTCTTTTAAGACTTCATACATTTGCTCTTATTATCATATCCTTTAACTGACTGATAATTTTGTCAAATCTTAAGTTTCCATTATTTTTAGGAATTGGGATTTTAAAACGGAAAAATGATCATGTTACTGCCTGTCAATGGCTTCCGATTATTTAATCTGTGCTATGAAACCCTCAAGTCAATCTCCTTGTAGCTTTTATTCTGTTCCACTTGAGGAACAGTTAGCTCAGTTGGTTAGAACACTCCCTTATAACACCAAGGACATGGTTTCAGACCCCAGAACCGGCCAGCCACCAAAGAAAAAAAAAAAGAATCTGTTCCACTTGAGAGCCTTCCCACTGCCTGGAACATGTGCACGCCCTTGCTCCACCCCCAACCCCAGTCAGCTTCTACTATTCATCCTTTAGAGCTCAGCTCAAATATCATTTGCTCTGCTTAGAAAAGTCTCTGCTGACTCCCCCACCCTAGATCAGGTTCCCCATTCATAAAGTCTCATGGCACCACATATACTTCCTTCAAGGCAATTATCACAATTGAAATGAACTAACTATGTAATTAACCATCACCTCCGTTTGAATATAAACTTCATGATGCCAGGACCAGTGTTTGTCACCTTTACTATCATATCCCAAGAACCAAGGAGAGAACATTGTCCACAGGAGGCACTCAATAAATACTGAATGGGGTAAATAATTACCCAGCAAATGAGTTATCATTTAACAACTTCTCACTATTATAAGGCCTTAAAACCTGCAAGTCAGCTTAGATAGCAGCTATGCCTGAAGTGGTTTGTCTTAACTAGAGTGCTGACTCTTCTGGATCTTCTTCAAAATTCTATACGTTCTGAAATTCTGCTCCTGAGTTTGATTTTTTAAACTCTTTTTCTTTTTCCTAGCTTAATGTTTTAAGTACTTCCTGAATCTTCTTGTACAGAGTATGTATTCAATAAATTGAATGTATTCCTTGACAGGATTTTATTTGCCAGATTTACAATTTATTTTACAAATATTTACTGAATACCATTGTAGATCAAATACAATGATTCTAAATAATAGGGTTCTTAGAAGATAGTACATCTTGAATGAATCCCAGATTTCCACATTTTAAATTAGAAATGCCCATAATAACATTTCAGGGCTCAAAAACATGAATATATGTCAAACCTCTCACTTCCTCCGTTATAATTGGTAGATTCCATTCACTTATAAACTTTCACAAAGTATGTATCACGAGCCCACCAGAATTCACCAGAAATCTAGAATAAATTCCTCAATGTCATTTTTAAATGATCCTTTTCTATTCAAATTTTAGTTCTGAAATGAAGGATTTATATAATCACAACTTTAGCAAAGACAGATAAGTATGGATGATAGATTGTGACTAGATTATAGACCTAAATAAAGCCAAAAGATCAGGAAGTAGCACAGGGATTCTCAAAAGCTATTCTCCTAGTGTTAAATTTTATCTCAGTACTGGGAAATTTTAAGTCAAAATAGTTTTCATCTTAAAATACTGCTTTAAAATTTTTAGTTAACTTCTAAATCACATTTATGAAGAAGAAAAGTAGAAAACTAGAACATAGTGCATAGGGATTCAAAGTAACCTAGATGATTTCAGGATGAAAAGAAAACAAAGTATCTAAAAAGCCATGTTCTGGTTACTCCACTTTGGAAATTCCTGCTACTCTTATAAGACTGAAGTATTGTATTTTGGTAGCAGTTGAGTACATATATAATGAAAAAGAAAATAAGAATGTTAAGTTTTTACTATCTAAAATATAATTTCCTATAGGGTAAGGAACATATTTTCTACGTTCTCAAAAGTACCTCATGTAAAAATATTGAAAAAATATTGATGATGATGACGAGGAGGAAGCAGAGTAGCATTAACCTGCTTAAAAATTATACAGTAAAATAAATTTAAGGTGGGTGCTCAGTTTTAACATATGACCACATTTTCAAAACTGTGACAAAAAAGATCAGGTGATCTGGTGATTCTCTGGGCTGCTTAGCACTGTATTGGTGGTGGCTGCTGTCATGTTCTATGAATTAGGGCATAGCCTTAGGATCCCAGGGATACTGGGTTTTTCCTAGTGGTAGAGCAAGCCCTCATAGCCCAAACTCCCAGGATTCACTTCAGTACTTAGCAGTCTCCTACTGAAAACGAAAAAAAGTTTGTGGCACTTCTATAAAATACATTTCCTTTCTACCACAAAACCCACAACTTGTAGATATCCTGGATCCAGAGGTTGAAGTTGCATTGCTAAACTTTAAGAATGGCTCCAAAGGTCTCACTACTCTGAAAACTGTTCTGCAGTCCAAAAACGTAGTATTCTAAATATATTCTAAATATATTTGTATTCTAAATATAAATGGATAATGTTAGCTTTAGCAGAAATTGTAGGTGCCTCTCCCTCCCTTCTCTCCTCTTCCCAAGGTTCCTTTAACCTGCTGATAGAGTTTGGATATGATAGAGTTGGTCCCCCGCAAAACTCATGTGGAAATCTGATCCCCAATGTGGCAGTATTGGGAGCTGTATGAGTCATGGGAGCAGATCCCTCATGAACGAATTAATGCTCTCACTGGGGGTGGGGGTAGTAAGTTCTTCCTTAGTTCCCACGAGAGCTTGTTGTTTCAAAGACCCTGGCACCTCCTGTCTCTCTCTCTCTCTCTTGCTTCCTCTTGGCATGTGATCTGCTTGTACCCGCTGGCTGCCTGCCATTTTCTGCCATGAGTAGAAGTAGCCTGAGGTCCATGCCAGATGCAGCTGTCCCAGAATTGTAAGCCAAATAAACCTCTTTTCATTATAAATCACCCAGTCTCAGACATTCTGTTATAGCAACAAGAAATAGACTAATACACCTACCCTGCCCATAGATGGATCAGAACATTCAGTTTTATTCTATCCCTAGGAGTACTTCCATAGGCTATGTATTCGTCCTTTTCTGTTGCTTATAACAAAATATCTGGAACTGGATGATTTATAAAGAAAATGAAATTTATTGCTCAGAGTTTCTGAAGCTGGAAAGTCCAAGGTCCATCTGGTGGTGGCAACAAGGACCCAGGGGTCTCACACTGCAAGATGGTGGAAGCAGAAAGAGCAGAGAGAATAACCTCCTCATCCCTCCTTTTAAAGCCTTTAGAACCATGCCCCTGACCACCATTATTAATCCATTCACTGCAGCATGGTCTTACAATCTAATCACCTCTTCAAGGCCCCACCATTTAATTTCCAGAACAGGATTTCCCACCCTCTTAACAGTCACAGTGAGGGCCAACTTTTTAATACATAAAACTTGGGGGACACGATTCAAGTTTCAGTGAGTTTTGGGGGGACATAATCTAATCCACTATAGTCTATAAGCTCCTAGCTCAGAATGAGATCTTATAACATTTTTTAATAAATGAGTAAAAGGCTAAAGAACTGGTTTACAGGACCATAAGCAATGTTAGTCCTGCCTTGACATTACAGCTCTTGGGAGTCAAGCCTCTTTGTCTACAAGGCTAGAGAGGTAAGCTCTATTTCTGCTGCCTGAGCCTAGAGGGATCTGGGTAAGTGGCCTCAATCAGTTATGCTCTAGGTACTGGGACAAATAGCACCTATAATCCTTGTGGACTGATATGTACTGGAATGACTTTCTTCTAACTGGAATGATAAAAGCAGAGATTCTGGTAGGAGTTTGGGAGTCAAAGGTTGAGCATTCTCTGAAAGTGAAGTCTACCTAGGCAAGGTAGCTCTGTGAGGTACAATCTAGCTCCCTAGAATTCTACAAAGTGACGAAGTATGCCTTTTCTGGCCAGTGCACTCTCTGCTTATATACAAGGGGTCTTCAAAAAGTTCATGAAAATATTTGCATTATCTTTTAATTCTAGCTTTCCATAAACTCTTTGAAGAACACTTGTATGTCCCCTAAAGCAGAAGGGGCAGCTGGTGGAAGACAAAATTCAGGAGATAGAAGCTTTTATCACAGCCATCTATATTATTTATCTAAAAAAATCAAATAGTATCCAAACTTAATACAAATTGAATAGTATGAAACCAGACTCAAATTAATCAAAACATAAAGATTCCAGAAAAAGGTTTAGTACAATAATCATATAGTCAAAATAAGACTACAACATCATAAGGCAAAAAGTAATTCTTTTAGAGAGTATGGCATGAATCATTCAATTTTTGTCTCATTAAAATGAATATTATGTATATTTATAAAGCATATACATTATTATCAAATACTATATAATACTTACTTCTTCTGCATACTGCAAGTACCGTTTATTAGTTTCCTGTTTACCAAACGTTTCTAAAAATTTTTGACGGTAAGCAAGAACTGTATCAACATGTGTTTTGTATTTTACAGCCAATTCCAGTGCCCTGTAATGAGTAATAAAAACAGATTATCAGCATTGCTTATGTCAGACAGTAGAGTTTTGGAGTAAGGGGGAAGGACAAATGGTTGTTCCTTCTGTTTATCCTGCAAAGTGAAGGTCATTTTCTACCTTATCCATCTCGTTAATTCCTGTTTATATTTCAAAGCCCAGATCAAACATGACTTCTCCGACCAGTTCCCCTTTAGAAATAAATGACCATTATTTTATCTATGCTCCATACTATTTATACATACTATTATTACAGCACTTCTTACAGTGTATTACAATTATTATTTATGAGTCTGGATCCTCCAGTAGCCTGTATATTTACTGAAGGAAGATCTGGGTTTTGTTTCTCTTTGGTGAGTACTACGGAGTGCATGTGTGGTAAATGTTCATTGAAAATCTTTTTGAAATCATCATAAAATTCAAGTGAATGAATTTCCCTACAATGTATGGGGTTTAATTATCTTGACCATTTTTATAAGTTAATAATGGATTTATAGAATTAGAAAATGACATCCTTATATTATACTACAGCAAATTAAAAATCTTATGCAAATAAATTGAGGTTAAGAAAAGTCTGACAAAATGCCTTTTGCCATTTGAGTCTTAGAAAATGTTACTACCATCTAAATTTTATAATACAGTCAACTAAATTATTATATAATCTATGCAACTAAGTTATTTTTAAAAATATTTTATTTAAATAGCAGATGAGAATTATACGAATTGCTAAAAACAGTGGTATAACACCTAAGACACAAAATCTATACACTGATGATAATCTGCAGGGAAATAAAAAGATTAATCCTCAATTCCAGGTTTACTTTCACATGTAGATTTTGCACAGCACCTCAGCCATTCCAATCCTGTGCATAACTCATATTAGCTGAATCAGGAACAAACAGGTGTATTATAGCTCTCTTACAATGTTCACTCTAATCTCATTTCAAAGTATGGATAACAGTCATCCTAATAGTCAAAAGTACATTATTTCTCAAGTTCTCTTGCTTTCTGATATGACATATGACTTATGAATAGTCCAATCATGATTTATTAGAGCCAACTATTACAAATTTTCTGTTTTAGACAAAGCTGACTACTAACTAGATTTTTTGCAACTTGTGACTCTTCAGTAGGAAAATCTGGTTCATTCTTAGCAAGCATTGGCTTGCCATACTATTGACCATACTATGAGGGAAGGAGACCTTGATAGTGCAAAACAGGAAGTGTTCTAAATGAGGAGTACATCAGCACCTACTCTGGGTTGGGGCTTTTCAAAAATTCCAAAGAGATATTTTGGTATGGAACATTAATACATTTAATTATGTAGAAAGAATGGAATATGATATCTAATCCTGCATTTAGATGCTAGATCCATTATCCACCTATCTATTATTTTCATTATGTACTAATTATCTAATGGCTAAAGGTAAACATTACAATGATATGTGTTCAACTCCGTACCCCACAGATATGTACAATCAACTATGCTACAATAATAAAAAAATAAAGAAAGAAGAAGAAAAAATGATATGTGCTATGTTTTCTAAAAGCATACACTGGGTAAAAAAATGTGTCCTTACCACATTGAGGAGGGAACTTACTCCAAATTATATAAGGGTTTTGGGAACAGAATGTCTCTAGTTTTAAAATGGTTATTTGGCAACCAAACAAATGTGACATTAGATTCTAGGGCTGGAATAAATTCATTTTAAATAGAAGGAAGTTATATAAAAAGATGGTGTAACTTCAAAATGTGATCTTTTGCATAACTTGAATGAAGCAAAATTATTTTGTATAACTGGTATAAGACTATAAATTTTTTTTAAATTAATAATTACATAAAGGATCAATATGCATATCTGGAACTTCTAGGTTCTATCTCTCTTAACTTCAGTTTTTGAGAGCAGATTACCACCAAATGTCCAAAGTGCATATGAAGCAGATAACTTGCTTACCTACAACTTTTCAAGAGCTGCATCTTATTAGGTTACAGGCAATTTTCAAATACAAATATGAAAGATAGAAGCACAAACCAGCGAGACTGTGCTTCTCAAATGGAATAGCACATATAAACAAAATAAAATTTCTTCCCTCCTAGAGGATTTAAACAAATATAGAAATTCAGGGATCTTAAAGACAATCTAATATGAGGAAGCTTCAAAAAGTCCCTGGAAAGATGCATATTATCTTTTAATTCTATTTTTCCATGAACTTTTTGAAGAACCCTCACATATTTATCATCCAATACTTAAATTCTATCCTTGAATGATAGAACTAGAATGTCATCACTTTGTAACCCCTAATCATCAATGGCTGCTAACATCACAAAAACACAGACAACCAGTTATTATGGAAATATATACAATACCACCTCTGATGAAGCCTTATCAAAAAAAACCCCCTAAATCTAATCCAGTTTCTAGATTCAACAACCAGTTTGCAGCTAATTCAGGGGACAGAGGAACATGTTAAATGATACCACAAAGATGTAATCAATAGACTACAGAAAATTCCATAGCCCCAGTTTCTTCAATGGGAGATTGCAAGAAAACACAGAAAAGAAACAGGAGAACCTATAGATGAAAAGAAACTTAAGGACATATTAACTAATCACAATGTGTGGATCTTTTTTGGATCCTGATTCAAACAAACCATAAAACAAAACATTTACAAGATAAACAAAAATAAGAACACTGAATATAATTACTGTTAACTTTTTAAGGTACAATCATGGTATTATGGCTATGTTTAAAAAAACTTTTAGAGATACATACTGAAATATAAATAAAATGATATGGTGTTTGGGGTCTGTTTTAAAATAAATGGTAGGGGAAGGGTGGGGGAGGGGTAGAGGTTGTCCACAAATTGATAATTGTTGCATCTGAGTGATACCCATGGAGATTCATTACACTATTTTGTCTACTTTTGTGTGTGTTTGAAATTTTCCATAATAAACACTTCTAAAAATTCAGTCTTTTTGGTTCCTCCTGATTTCTTTTGCTGAATCTTCTTCTTAAATCAAATCCTTAAACACTGGTATTCAGCAGAGATCTGCCTGCTGCCCTCTTTTCTTTCCATACTTTAAGTTCTTGTGGTTAAACTCAGCCATACTCACAGCCTTGACTATTCTCTATAAGCTAATTCCCTCAGTGGCTTTCCCTCAATGTCTAGAATCTCTCCTGAATTTCATATTCATATATATATATATCTCATTCTGTGCAGGGCCTCATGAACTAGATATATAAACGCAATTAAAATTAAATAAATCCAAATTGCTGGACAGCTTAACTACTACCCCACACCCTGCCCCTGCCGCCCCCACCCCCCAAAAATCTACCATCCAGTGTAGTTTTGGTCTGCTCACATACCAGAAGTGGGCTTACCCTGCAGCTAAAGTACACAAACACATTCAAGCGCTGCCAGCCTTTCCTGATAAATACACAATACCTAAACATTAAACAAAACAAAGCAAAACAAAACAAAACACTGTCTGATAATACAAGCCAGTTCTGGAAAACCTAGTTTATGAGAATGATCACCTACTCAGTCCTAGGAGAAAACAGAAATACATGTGGGAAAAAAAAAAAAAAAGATCATTTAAAAAAAAAAGTACACCATCTACGTAGATAGCTATGCAAGCAGTCAATTAATCACTCAGTCACACAACTTTATCATTCATCCTATACTTGAACATCTTTACAGATGAAGATTATTCTACCCTATAAGCAGGCTATTCTTTGGATTACGCTATTATAAACTGATTCTTAGATTGAATCCAAATATATATTCTTACTTGTACCAGTGTATCTTGGCCATACCATTTAGAGTTGTACAATCAAAACTGTCATCATGGACACTGTTGGTTTTGTTCATTGCTGTATCTCCAGTGCCTAAAACTTGGCATACTGAAGGCAATCAATAAATATTTAAAGAATGAATAATAGGTGTCATTTACTGAAGGATTATTATGTGGCAGGCTGTATGCTGAGAGATTTTCACACACTATTTTATTTAATCCTGACAACAAATGTGAGGTTGTTGTTGTTATCATCATTTTAAACATTAGGGAAGTAGGCTTATAGAGAGCCTCAGTAATTTGTCCAAGACCACTTACCTAGTAAGTGTAGAACCAGAATTCAAACCCAGGTCTGATTTGAAAGCCCTCATTTCTAATCACATTTGTCTTCTCCCACTCAACAATCCTTTCCAACAAGAATCTGAAATGTCCAGAACTTTATCACAGACAGTTGATTTTTTTAAAAGCATATCCTCCATGTAATATCAAAATATGCCTAATATGGTAGACACTCAATAGTTGTTCAACACTTGATAATTATTATTACAGAAAAAAATTTTCCAAATGGTTTCACAAATATCTATAATTACATATTTCAGAAATGAAGATAATACCTGTTTCTTAAAGTTTCTTAGTAGCTATAATTACTTCTGCTGATTATCTGAAACCATTTCTTACCCAATCTTGATATTTGTGCTAAAAGTAATAGGAAACTATGAATTTCATTGAATTAGGTCTGAGGTCAAGAGTGACATGATCAGATTTCTACTATGAAAAGATCACTATGATTGCGGCATGAAGAATAGGTAGGAAAGGCACAGAGTAGATGCAGGAAGATCAGTGATGGCATTACACAGAAAAACTTGGATCAGCTTAGATGAGGGTGCTGGTAGTGAAGTGGATGAATGACAAAAGGTATTCAGGAGAGAAATGGTTGATAATAGGGAGTGGAGAAGGGGACAAAAATGTCAAAAGTAACTCCTACGTTTCCAGCTTTGAGCAACTAAAAGGATAAGATAGATTACCCTGGAAGAGGACAAGGTTTATGAAGGAATTAACATAAATTTGAATTCAAACTTGTGAGATACCCAATGGAAATGTTGAGTAGGCAGTTAGATAAGTGGATTCCAGAAGCAAACATGGGCAGGACAGAGGGGTAGATGAGAGATGCTTATTTGGGAGTCTTAAGTGTACAGATAGTAATCTGGATCTTTATCATCTTATCAAGTAGATTTAGAGATCTATCAACACTTGACCAACCCACTGGTTTATAATTAGATAAAAGTACCCGTGTCTGGCACCCACCCTGATGTGAGGGTGATAACCCTACTGATGTTCACAGAACTGTCTCATCTGGGCAGGACCCTGAGACCCCACAGGCTTGGGGAGACGGGCAAGGCTGGGGGACAGGGAGCAGCAGCAATCATGAGCCCGTGTGCAGGTGGTAGGGCAGTAAGGCCAGCCACTGTGTACCCCTACAATGTGGTCCTCATAGGTGAGGAAACTGAGACAAAGAGTGATGAGACCTGTAGTTATAGAAGCAGGGTCCATTTGGGTTCCAGCCCAGGGCCACACCTATCACCCTTCTGCCTCAATCCAACACCCTCCCGTCCACCAGCCACTCTGGGATCTGTGGAACCTGTGATCCACATCACCTCACTCACTCCCTATGACTTCCTCAAGGATTTGTTGCAGATGGGGAAACTGAGGCAGCCCCCCCCATCACCATAACTGTCACCTGGTTCTGTCTCAGGCCCACTGAGAGTGGCCAAGTCTACTTCTGGCTGGCTGTTGACCTTGGGCAGTTGCTAACCTCTGAATGCCTGATCCCTCACATGAGCCATGGAGGATAGCTCCCAGTCCTCTGCCAGGGATTGGAGCCTTGTTCTGGTTCATGCTCTGAAAGGCTTCCTCAGCATGGGGGTATGGGAGGTAATGAGAGGCAGAAGGGTCGCTTCATAGGTCCTTGATCTGTGGGATTGTGTGTGGGTGTGTGCAGGTACAGGGCTGGGGGGTGTGGGACTGTGTGGGTGTGGAATGCGGTTTGAATGTGTCTCCTCCAAAATTCAGGTGTTGAAACTAATACCCAACATGATGGTATTAGAGTTGGAGCCTTTAAGAGGTGATTAGGCCATGAGACCCTTCCTCGTGTGAATGGGATGAAGGTCCTTATAAAAGAGGCATTGCTCAGTGTTGGGCTCACTTGCCCTTCTGCCTTTAGTCATGTAAGGACCAGCGCTCCTCTTCTCCAGAGACCAGACACCAAATCTGCCAATACCTTGATCTTGGACCTTCCAGCCTCCACAAGTGTGAGAAATAAATTTCTGTTCTTTATAAATTTAAAAAAAAAAAAAATATATATATATATATATACACACACACACACACACACACATTTGTATAAAAGCAAAAAGCACAGGAAAAGGAGATGCCAGGTAGACAGAAAGAATGAAGCAGCAACCAGGATTCATTCTCTTTCCTCATTACATCCTCTTTGTCCCTCTTATTTTTCCTCTCCCTGAGATCTAATAATTTTAAGGCAGGGTCACTTGCTGAGAATTGGGTGGAAAGTTGGGGAGACACTGGGGGTGTTCCAGGAGCAGGATTACAGGACATTAAGCAAGGTTTGAAGTCTCAGCAGAGAATAAGTATGGTCATATAACATAAGCCTCAAAGGACTGGAGATTTTATAAAATAGGGAAATAAAGATGAAGGAGGTGAAACAACATCCCACTGATTCCACTCAAATCCAGATCCTAAGGAATGTGGAGTTGGAGAGAATAAATTGACTCCATTTGAGAGGACTGGTAGACAGGCAGTATTTTCTGGTAAGAGGTAAGTTTCACTTAGGTCAGGAAGTACAAGAAATGTTCAGAGGGTTATATTATAGGCTATCAGAGACAAATTTCCTCATCTTCCTGCCATGACACTTACTTACTCAGTGCATGTATTTATACTGCAAAATGAGTATTGCATAAAGATTAAGAACATGAGTTTAAGTACCTAGTATGTATAGATAATATAAAATGTTTCTGTCCTTCAAAAAGTATATAATCTGAAAAAGAAGTCAAAAACATCTGTAAAGATAAGTAAAGAGATAAGCAGCAATCCAATAAAACAATACTCATATACGCAATGGTACTAGCAGTACATGTTGAATTGCTTGGTGATAAGCTGAGCTCCTCTTTGATATTAGAAGACTTCGGTTCAAATTCTAGATCTTCCACTTACTCATAAGTAAGCCTCAATTTCCTCAATTGTAAAATGGGGATGGGCAATACCTAATGTCATAGAGTTCCTTAGATAACCTAATGAGAAGATATATAGAAAGTATTTAGCATAATTAATTCCTGGCACACCATAAGCACTCAGTAAGTGGAGGCTTTACTATATTAATGACAATAAAATGAAATTCCTAATTTGGTTTTAAGCTTTTTAAGATACAGAACAGTAAAAAAAATTTTTTGTTATATTATACAGTGTTCAGAGTGCCATATGAATAGTAGTGTCTACCATTAATCAACATATTTTCTCAAAAACATTGGCTGTAAGAATGTTGTAAACACTATTCTTCCCTATTTCTCATAGAACTCTGTTAGCTTGATGATGGTATATATAATTTTGTCTTAGTTATTTAATATAGAGTTTTAAAAATATTAGTCATACTCTACCTTTTTCCAAATTAGTTACCTCAAGTTTATAAATTATGAATAAATTGGGGATAAGAACAACGATCTATTCATTTTTGTAGAATCAAAAACATGTTTTATGATCCTTTATACAGCTAAACAATGACAATGAATTTGTGTAAATAAAGAAGAGAAACAGAGTGGCTGAATTATACCAATAATATAGATCATTAGGGCATAAATTAAATAAACAGACTGCAATATATTAATCACAAAATTAACCATCTGCCATTTTTGTTACTTCTATTCAAGGAAAAGATAAAGAAAGGATATATATAAAAATTTTAATCTAAGGAAGTTATAAGTGAAGGGCATTATAATTGAGCCCAGAGAGAAACAAAAATCATGAAAGACATTTCAAACCTGGAAGAGTATGCCAATTTCATAACATAGCAACTTGAGGAGTATTTGTGCACTGCAATTTTGTTCACTCAGAGACACATACCAGAGGGAACGAGCAGGAGGAATCTAATACAGTAGTCCCCTCTAATCCAAAGGGATACATTCCAAGACCCCCTGCAGATACCTGAAACTGCAAATAGCACTGAACTGGAACCTGACTGGAACACGTTTCTGTTCATGTCTTCCACCCACAAATTTAATGCCTTTTCAGCAAAATTAGCAGGAATTTCTTTTTCCTTCTTCACAATTTCACGAATAGAAGATTCATTCTAACTACATCTTAGCAACCTCAGCATACGATTTTTTTTCTTTCCTTAATAAGTCAAGAACTTTTATCTTTTCACTTAAAAGAAGCATGTTATGGCTTCTCTTTGGCATATCCAAATTGCAAGCATCACTATTCTTGCACTTTGGAGCCATTATTAAGTAAAATAAGGATTAATTGAACACAAGCACTGTGATACTGCGACAATCAATCTGATAACTGAGACCGCTACTAAGTGACTACCAGGCAGGAAGTACAGACAGCATGGATATGCTGGACAAACGGATGACTCATGTCCTGGGCAGGATGCAGCAGAATGGTGCAAGATTTCATCATGCCACTCAGAATAGCATGCAATTTAAAACTTATGAATTCTTTCTTTCTACAGTGTTCTATTTAATGTGGACTGCAGTTGACTGCAGGTAACTGAAAGGGTGGAAAGTAAAACCGCAGATAAGGGGGGACTACTGTATGTCATAGAAAAGAGCTGGCATGCCACTCTATGTCAGAATCACTCTGTCCCAAAGCCTAAGGTAGGGGTGAAGGTTGCTGTTGACCACTCCTTAATATAAATCCTTTCCTCTTTCTTTCTTACCACCACAAGTCTCCCTTGGCTCCTTTCTCTACCTGTCTGACTATTTTACAGGATAACCTTTTGGTGGATTTCTCCGCTTTGAGCCCTCCCATAAAAGTAGTCGATGTCTTCTCACTCCACACATTTCCTAGGCAACTGCAAACATTCTCTTAGCTTCAACTACTGTAGTCCATTTGCTGATGACTCCTAAATTTAAATCTTCAGTTCAAATCATTCTCATGAGTTGAAGGTCCATTTAATTAACTAATATCACATATCTCTTCAAAAGTATTTCAAATTCAACTTGGGTAAAACTGAACTCACTATCTTCCCTACCAAAGCTGCTAAAGCTAACACCACCTCTCCAGTTACTGAAATCAGACATTTGGGAGACATTCTAGACTCTTTTTCTCCTTTGCACCCCAACTTATAAGCAATCACACGGTCAGAGAAGGCATAAATCTTTCATTGCAAACTACTCACAACTTTGTGACTCACCTTGCACAAATGTAAACTATATAAATATGAACAAATTCTTCTGGGTTGTTAGAAAACTATTAAGTACAATAGAAAATGTAATTTACTAAATGGTAGATGAACGAATACATTAAGGTTTTGAAATTGATGAAAAGCGTTTTCAATACCTTTCCCAATTGTAGAGATTAATATTGATCTGGATTGCTTGATAAACAAGGCCAGCCTGAAGAAGTACTATTTCAGCCTCCTGTATGTTCCCACTAAACATTAGTATGTGAGCCATTTTTGATTCTTTAGATGGAAGATTCTTTATAGAATTGATGTATTGAACCTTATCAATCTAAAAAAAAAGAAAAGAAAAATATTGAGGTGGAAAATAGAAATATAACAAATTATGAGGAAAAAACACATATACATACATATATGCACACTCTACTTACTTACTTCACCAATTGCTGCATAGGCTATTTCGGCAGTAGTCATGTCTCTATTAGCAACTGCCATGGCAGCTAGGCAAGCCCACATGGTTTGTTCCTAAAGTGAAATGAGAAAAATGATCTCAACTACATGGCTGAACTGCCTTAAAATAAACAGTGATTTAAGTACTCATAATAAAATTATATTTTAACTTAAAAAATAAAATATTACTAGTCATGGCAATGAAAAAACAATAGTTTGATAAATTATGTGGAAATTTCACTGTGGTCACTTTGTTGAAATATATTAATAACCCATAGAGAACTGCTTTTGAATACAATTTTCTAAAGATTTTCATTTAAATAAATAAATAAAGAATTTATTTTTGAATTTGATATAACTCAAGAGTATAAACCCTTCAGTGTTTTTGATGAGGTATCAATGAATATAACTTACCAGGAACAAGAGGAATAGTGAGGTTCTTAGACAATGCTATTATGGTAGATTGCCACCAACAACCCATTGGAAGAAAAAGCATTTAAAAGTCATTTCACAAAGTGTATTCTAAGGGATGTTAACTGATATTCAATAAAAGAGATCTATAATCAAACATGTCTGGAAAATATTAGATTCAACCAAGCTGAGAAATGTTGATCCAAAGCAGAGATTCTTAAACTAAGCTTTACAAAAGAATCATCTAAATAACTTAAAAAATATGCCCAGGACTCAACCCAGATCTAATGAATTAGAATTTTTATGAGGGTAGAACTTGGAAACCTGACTTTTAAAAAAAGTTCCACAGAGGATTTTTTTATGTGCCAGTATGGAGAAACTAACTACTGGTCTAAATTATAGCCCCTTCAGAAAATAAACTACACAGCAACATCTATCCCACTATATTGCTCATGTCTTCATTTATAAAACAGAAGTCATGATCCTGTTCACAATTTTTCCAGTCCTTAGCTGTTATCACTACTCATCATGCACAAAAGTATACTAACACACAATATATACATGACTAAGGATCTGAAATGCAAAGTACCTTAACAAAGCGACAAAGTCTTACAGCATCTTCCCATTTTGAACTGCTTACATATTCATGGAGAATAGCAGGATATGGTGATATGCTGATGTGAATCAGGGAGCCATCAGCTCTTCTTATAGTTACCTGATTTCCAACAAAACTCACAATATGGGGATTTTTACTAAATTCACTGTTGAAAAAAAGAAAAGTGCAATTTAAAGTTATATTTTAAGCAAAAATTTTCACATATGCTAAATTTGGGAAGGGGACCCTGACATATTTATGGAGTCTCCAGTCTCCAAAATGCACTCCCCAAAAAAGTTAACTCTGGAAAGAAGGTATACATTCAAATAAACATTTGAATCTAACTTGGTATATACACTGGACGAAAAATATACAGTGTAAGGTGACAATTTTTATTACATATTTGGCAACTATTCCTAAAAGAATTTGAAGAGACCTTTTTTTCTGAGTCTTAAGATAAATCACATAAATGATTAAATAGCTTTAGCTTTTAAAAGTATTAAAGGGTAAACTGATAAAAATTAAGCTGAATTCCAACATTATTTTCTCATAATGAAAAGGGGTGAACTTTAAATAAAGAGACTAACTTCTTTTCTCATTAGTTTAAAAACTTTTAAAAATAAGCTGTTTTATTTTGATGCCTGTCTGGTTTTGCTATGCCTGTGAACTTGAAAATAAAAAATGAACTCAAACAGATTTGAAAGCTAAGCTAAGGTTTGGAGTCAAGAAATCTTTGTATTACTATTTTGCC